TAGCACAAATCATGTCAATAAATATTTTCACAGGAATCGAAGCCAGAATCCATTTATATTACCACAAACTGTCATATAATTTGTATATATTATTTGTATTATATAATTTAGGTGGTTGATTATGTACCTTTTTTTTTCATCAATAAGACTAATCTCTTCACCCTGGTCAGTGTGGATCAGTTGGGTGAGTCCTGTCCTGTGCACCAGGAGGTAGCCGGTTCGATTCCCAGTCAGGGCACAGGCCCAGGTTGCAGGCTCCATCTCCAGCAGGAGGCAGCTGATCAGTGTTTCTCCCTTTGATGTTTCTCTCCTGTTCTCTCTCTCCCTTCCTCTCTCTCTAAAACCAATAAAAACTTTTTTTTGTTTTTAAAGCCTGATCTCTTCCAAAATAGGAATTTCTTTAAGAGCAGGGGTTGATTTTCTACCCTTGTCACTCCAGCACCAAAACGAACATTCTGGGACTATAATAATGCTTTTTTCCTACTTGATCGTGAACTTGGGTATCACAGTCAAGCCTGGGTTCAAGTTCCCTTTCTATTTCTGACCAGTCAAGTGAAGCTTTTGGCATAGATGACCTTGAAACTACATCTAAAATAAAGTGCACCAATAAAATATACTTTTGATTATTAACACAAGTGGTTTACACTTAGATGATTTTTTTTTCTGGTAAATGTAATAAAATTTAATAAATATTCTGTGGAATATATTTTGAATTTTAAGAAATCTAGGAAAACATTTTTTGTCAATATAATTATTTGAATTTTATGTAACTTCTAAATCAGCAGTATTTCAGGTGTCTGATTGGGTTTGGGGTCCAAATAAGATATTTGCAGTATCATAACCATCATTTTATACAGCTTAACATTGGCAAGTCTATGCTGAGTAGGTTTTATATATTCATTAAAGACTATTTTTCTACTAGTAAGTGGTATATTCAAAATATTTCTCTTAATAACTCAAAATTTAAAAAATAAGAGATAAGTTAGGTGCTTTCCAACTCTCTCCTCTCAGGTTTCACAGAGTCCTAAAGGAGCTCGGAAGCATCTTTGAAAGAATGTAACTGCTTAGCTATTATAAACTGTGCTGCTATGAACATTGGGGTGCATAGGGGGTGGAGGGGGAGAGAGTAACCAAAGACTTTATATGAATATATGCACAACCCAAGGACACGGACAATGGTGGGGAGAGGGACTGGGGAGGGGGAAGGGACGGGGGGGAAAAGGTCATTGGGGAGAAAAAGGGACATCTGTAATACTTTAAACAAAAATAAAAATTATTTAAAAAAAAAGAAAGGAAAGGATGTAACTGCTGTTCATGGGCAGTATTCTCAGGCCAAAATATAAATTCACCAAAGCAAACTGGCAGCCTTATTGAGGTGCTTCTACAATTCCATGCACTAATGGACTGAGATTTTTAAATAAATGTCCAATGCTGTCAGCTTTCCCTTGAATACAATGACAAAATATTGATCTAATTTCTAAATTGTCTTGCTAAGCAAATATATAATTTAAACTACTCTCATTTTAGTCATCAGATGCTTTTTAGTGTGGTACATTACTAGATAAATACTAAAATGTATAAGTTAAAATGGTAAATCTTCAAATATTGAGAAATGAAAACATCATTATTTTAACTCACGAGTTTCTCCCAGATCTTCACTTTGAAGTGGGGGAGAGACAATCAGCATCGTCTTCCTCTTTTCCCTGTCTTATTTTTGGTACTGTGCTTTCATTATTCTAGCAAAGTGCCAATAAATAGGACATGCACTGTCTATTACTTTACACAGTAGGGAAATATAAGTAAATTAATCTAGGTTATTTCCTCAGGCTATGAATATCATCAATATTTTCTTCTTTCTAATCCTTCAGAACAAGCTCTTATAGAGGAAAAAATATGTTAGTACTTCAGTGATGCAGGAAAAATATGCACAGCAGGTAATATCCTGGGAAGTTGTTTTATCAGTACATCTGTAATACTCTCAACTATATATATATATATATATATATGTATGTATATGTATATGTATATATCTGTGTGTGTGTGTGTGTGTGTGTGTGTGTGTGTGTGTGTAAATACCCAGAGCGACACCTGAAAAAGGAAAGAATTTTAAAATGATTAACCCTGGAAAGTAGGGTTATTCAGGAGACTGATGTTTTTTATTACTTTTTATTTCTATTTGTGTTTCCCAATTGTAATAAAAATAATTTGATAGGGGGAAAAAAAGACTGTCTTATACATAGAGCTGTAATTTTACATATGTCCACTATACTAATTCTAAGAGCAATGTTGGGGGGTTAGCAATGAAGATTGAAAAGTCATTCCAGGTCTCTGGGCTTCAGCCTGAATGGGTAGGTCATTAAATAAACTCCTCCCATTATAACATAGAGACACTAATCATAGATCTTACTTAGTTCATCTTTATTCATAATAACAGATGCTTTCTGAGTATGTGCTATGGGTAATGTATATGGTTTACAAAAATCACAGTGTTAGGTGTATACTCTATTGATAATTCTGTAATAAATACTTCATACCTAACTTCATATGCATATAGATAACTAAAATAGAACATGAAAACCTCCCCAGGCTAAGTAATATGATGGTCCAAGCAATGTATTCTGCATATGAATTGTAGTGTAAAGTATTTTTGGTAGAAAAACTGCTTTTATAGCAATTGGATTTAGATTTATGAATGTTGTCAGAGAAGCTATTCTGTGATGTATTTTATGTGAGCTTTTAAAACCTTAGTGAAGATTCCATAGTCAGGAATTTGAATTCTCATTTGGTAGGTTAACCTTGTAGATAGCCACATTTGATCATACTTTGTTGCCACAAGTTGCAAGTATTAAGTAGGTGGGTAAAACTAATCCTTTCAATTATGAGATAGGCATAAGAATATCCAATTATTAAAGGTTTTCACTAAGGGCTTTCCTTTGGGGTATACTCTCACATGAGTATAACTTTCCTGAAAAATAAATGTTACTGTTGCTTAGTCTTGTTGAATTTCAAAACTATTTTATACACACTGAATTGATGATTTTGACTTTTATAGAGATCCTCTGGGCTTATGTCTTATCAGGAGAAAAATAAATAAAACAGTGTATTAGAGGCTCTTTAATTAAAATCCCTCAATATGCAAATATAGATAAAAATAAAAATGAACTAGGAAGGCTAAAGTGGCTAGAGAAAGAAGTTTTGCAAGAGGAAAGGCATACATATTATTGGAGAAGGTGGAAGAGTCTGTGGACAGATTTCAAGACACAGGAGAGGGAAGGCAGGAGCAAAACCAGTCAGGGATGTGGTTCTCTGCCTTGATTGCATGTTAGACAACCCTGGAGACCTTTGAAAACTGCCAATGCCTAGCTCCATCTCTGGCCAAATTGGTCTTTAGTGTATCCTGGGCAATCGGACTATATTTTACACAGTCAAGTTGAAAACCCTTGTGTAGAGCCTCTAGTAAAGAATCTTATAGATTTTGCAAACTAGCTGGCACTTCATTTTCAAGGCAATGGAGAATCAGCAAAAGTTTTAAAAGTAGTAATGTAAATCATGTATTTTTATCTCTTTTAGATTATTTTTAAATTTATATTTCATTACAGTTGATATAGCTTTAGAAGAGTAATTTTTTCCTCAAGGTGACTGACTAATATTAAAAGAGAATGGTTAGAAAAAAGGGAGATTAGTGAAGAGAATATTGCAGTATTCCAGGCCAGAAACAATAAGGTCTTGAACCAGAGACTGGCAGAAGAATTGTAGAGTTGGGGCAAATCTGGGAGGTTTTTGCATGCGAATGTATTATAGCTTTGAATGTATGTGTAAAATAATGGAGGAAGGTCTAAGACGACTTTGAGATTTTTTATTTTGGATAATCTGTTAGTTTTCTGTTGCTGTGTCACACACTATTACAGACTTGCTCAAAACATTTATTATCTCAGTTCCCAAGGGTCAGCAATACAGGTGTGCCTTCTCTAGATTCTCTGCTTAAGAGTCCGACCAGGCTACAATCAATGTGAGGGCCAAGGCTGAGGTCTCAGCAGAGGCTTGACTGGGGAAAGCTCCCCTTCCAAGCTCCTTTGGAATTACTGGCAGAACTCATATCCATGCACCTGTAGGGAGGGCCGAGGCCCCTGTTTTCTTGCTGGCTGACAGCCAGGGCCTGCCCTCAGGTCCTAGAGGCTGTTCTCGGTCTCCCTCTCTGTGGCCACTCCATAAGCATTTAGACATGTTGAATTTGGGGTAGTTGGGCATCCAATTGCAGTGGATGGGTAGGTGGTATAGAATTCAGTAGAGAGATAAGAATTGGACATATTTATTTGATAGTGATCATCTGAAGTGCTAGTTAAATAATGAGATTATCTAGGACAATATCGTAACAAGAACTGGACTAAGGACAAGAGCAGGACCAACTAAAGCTAGAACATCTGCATCAGTATTTCAACCCATACCTGCTGATTCCAGCCCAGTATCTCATTAAACTTTTGCCCATGCCTCTACTTTCTTCTTTCAACAATACCGTGTTCTCCCTCATTTGTGGGGTCCTCCCCCCCCACTCCACATCACAGTACCCAAGAGTGAGAATAAAGAGCTTTCTTATTGAAAGACATGCAGATAACAGACACCAAGAGAGAGTGACTCTATCATGCTCCCTGTCTCCAGATGGAATTATAGGACTGGGGGACCCAATGCCCAGTGGGAGGAGAGGGTATCGTTAGCCCTGAACTGCCTCATTTCTTCTTATTAGAAAGCAGGACTAAGTGTGTATTTTCCCTCCATCCCAGATTTGTCTATGAAATAAGCAGATGGCACACATTTAGATTGCAGGTGTAATCATATGTACCTGTCCCTGAGAACTTTTGTCTGTTTATTCGAGTAGAAAACTGTCGAAGTCCCTGTGGCTGTAATTTTGAGTAATCTGGGCTGTAATAATGGAACAGAAAGGGAATTTGATCCATACATTTCGATCTGACCTTCCTTCCTTCTCTCGAATCTTTATCTTTCAGGTTATATTCAAGAAGAATGTGCCATCCCCTGCCCATTTGATTGCAAGTTAAGTGATTGGTCCAGCTGGGGGTCTTGCAGTTCATCTTGCGGGATTGGAGTGAGAGTTCGATCCAAGTGGCTCAAAGAAAAACCTTACAATGGAGGCCGCCCATGTCCCAAACTGGATCTCAAGAATCAGGTAAAGTGCACGGAGCAGCAAATACAAAGCTTAAAGAATTATCCTCTTTATTATTTCCTATTGAAATTGAAGCCATTATCTTGTTACAAGCAGATCATAAAAGGTTATCACAAGTTCAGAAGAAGGGTTCAGCGAACAGAAATTAATACAATACAATTAGTAATGGAAGCCTCGGCCACTCCTAGGTAATGTTTAGTTCAACTTGGTATTATGCACAGTAATAATGTTTACAAAAATTCGATCCAACTGATTTTAAATAATCTTGAAGTGTAATTTGATTATTTGTGATATTAAACACACACACTCACACTAATGTTGGGAGAATGTCAGTTAATGTATGTCCATAAATATAATTTCTGGTCTCCTCATATACTCCAAAAATGATGTTCTGTTTTGCCTTCACCTAACTCTTATTCTAATTTTTGTGCTGGTGATTCTCAGTCTTGCTGGTGTTTCCACGGCTCTTTATGCCTCTTCTGAGCTATTTCTCTACCTGTTTCCCAAAACGTCAAAGCAGTTTTCATAAATGGAACCCTGAAGGATACCCTTCCATATAGATGTCTAGTCACAGTGCCATCCTAAGCAAAGTTGATTTGAGTATTTCAGTTTATTTTACCCATATAACAGAGTCTAAGATTTAGTTAAACATTATAATAAAGAACTAAATTTTCTCCCACAATTGCATACTAATTACTAGATTAGAGCTGATATATATGTATTTTAATCTAGTTGAATAGGTGAGGAACAAGATGATAGTTAAAATTTCTTTATTCTCAAAGAGGCGAAGTGTCTTTTGTGGGTATGTAGAGCCTTGAAAGCCCAGAACTGCTTTTAACAGAATAGCTACCAGGCTTGTACTACTAATTCTAGTATATTAATTTCTGTCAGCTTAACCCCATTTTGATTAGACTTTCTGTACAGGTTGTTTAATGGAGGGGAAATCCATGCATCTATTTTTAATTAATTTGAATAGTGTGTCTAGTACTACTTGGATTTTGATATCATTTGTCAATTCAAGACCAATATCTCTAGCTATTTTTTTTCTAAGTTTTGACAAAAGGCACATAACTCATTGAAAATGAAAACTTACCATTCCACACAGGTACTTAAGTTCGAAGACAGGGCAGAATGTGATGCGTCTTGTATTTTAAGGTTATGTGATAAAATAATGGCCCAGGTTTTTTCCTCAAAGAAGATGTAAACCTTTTGGGGAAAACAAGGCAGAGGATCATACAATCAATATAAAGTTTGCAAAAAAGCTCCAAAATACTGCAGTTTGGTGAAGGGAAGAATAATGAAGGTATTCGATTAATGAAAATAGGAGAGAGATAGTCAAGACAGATAATCTGAGGAGATAAGCCTTCAGTACAAGGAATAACAGGTTTATGGTCACAAGGAAGACTTTCAAGGAAATACTCTATTTTCTAGGCATTTTAAAATGGTAAAACTACTAAGAATTTATAGTTATAAATAATGGATGTAATTCTTTTCTCTTTTTCTAAAGCATCAATGAAATCCAAGTCTTTATAACACTGGTATTAAATACTATTTTTAGTATGTTAATTTTATGAACTAGGAAATTATCAAAGGAATAAAAGGATTATTTGAGCACAGATTTTTTAAGACAATATTTTCAGTACACAAAGGCAAATGTGTAGAAATGTGTCTATCAAATTGAAAGTATGAATGAGGTAAATGTACTTGTAAGCCTGTTGTGACTTATAGGAAACTTGTTCTAAACATTTCATTGATATATAAGACTGTATTCTTAAGGAGTAGTTTAAAATTAACCCCAAGTTCAATAACAATTTAGATAAACTCTATAAATTAAAATTAAGGTCGGGTGGGCCTGCCTGCAGGAGACCTTTCTGTGAAGTTCCAGAAAGGCATTATAGCATCCCAAAGACGTTTGTTGGTTGTGATGCTCAGAAATTAATCCTGACATTTAATGGTCAGCAATTGAATCTAGAATGGTCTGTATTCTAATATAAAGAGGTTTCCAATATCTAGCATGTGTATGGCTTAATTAAACTTGATGCTGAAAGCTTCGCCCCAGTCCATAGTTTGTGTTTTTACATAAGTTAATTGATCACAGCAATACGTTATAAGCACTCCCTTCCACTTGTAAGTATGTGACTGGCAAGGGAAGATACTAGTGTGAAAAATCCTAAATTTCAAAGAAACCTCCTCAGAGCAGTTTCTTTTCTAAAGCAAGCACATACATACCTGTAGGTATATTTGTGGAAAGCTCTCCAGTGACTTCATTACATATTTGCTCTTATATATAGTATAACCCCCTGTGTGTATGTTGTATTCCATATAGAATTATTCTGAAGTTATTCACATTTTCTTAATTCATCTGAAAATAAATGGGGTTGCCAGGAACTTTCATTATTTAGGAAATATCTCTGAGCTTCTATTATTTATGGTGATTCTTCTTTAGAATCACCACTATTTGTTTTGCTAAAGCTGGAAATATGGTCCAGTTAGAGGTGCAACCACTTGAGGCTCTTTTGTAAAGTTCAGTTTTACTACTGGCTTTAGGATATTTGTCTTCTTTCCAATTGGTTTTAGGCTCAGATTTATTTTCCTATTTATGGAACCATATGAATACTCTATCATCCATTCGCCCGTAAGAGCTGAAAAAAAATGTAACCGAATTAATCAGTAAAAGAGGCACATATCTTTAGGACCTGTGCATGAGGAAAATTCAGTATGTGTCAGATTGAGCCTAACAAACTGTTCATAAAAAATATTAAACTTGGTCTTGTGTATGGATTGCCTATTATGCATATGCTTCCTCTGTTCTCTTTAGGTCTTTTTGAGGGCAAGGGCTGTCTTTCTACTCCTGTAATGCATTCAAGCCCCTAGTGGATTGTCAGATTCTATTCATCGGATGCTTTATTTGAAAAGAAGCCTTCTGTCTGGATTAGTGGGTAGACAGTTTCATAGAAAGCCAAAATATGTTAGAACTCTGGTCTCTTGTGTTGTGGTTTTTCATTCAAATTCTCAAAAACATGAGCTCTTCTAGAGAAAAGAAATAAGAACCTCCAAATTGTTATTGCCCAGAGTCTTTCAAGACTTACCTGGGAAATCCTAAGTGTTTGGATCCCCACTGAAATTTAACTCAGTGATAGAAATGGAAAGGTTATTATTACGTAGCGCACACAAGCTCATAAACTGTTCTGAATCCGTTAGTGAAATCAATATTTATAATCTCTCATAAACAGCCTCCCTTTTAAACCGAAACCTATCAGCATGATAGCTCTTTCTCTGGAAGTGCCAAAATGACAGCAATACTGGAGTAGCTTTCTGCTAAGTATATTTGTGATGCTAAATAGCTCCAGCAAGCAGTTTCCGCAAGCTCTTATCTAAGTGGAAAACTTCTAAGTAGTTTAATGGATTATCAGATCCATTGTTGATGTCCTTGACGCTACTGTGCATAATAAAATATATAACGCATTTTAATTTGTTTCTGCCTGTAATGCATCGCGTGGATTTAAGTGCACTTGTGCTATATATTCGTGTGATATTTTTTTCTTTTGGAATTCTGCTTAACAGAAGATTCAATATGGGGACATTAAAGCTTCATTGAACTTACATTTCCCTTTACGAGTTCCTCACACCATTGAAGGCAAGAGAGTTCCAGGAAATGATACTGTGTTTATCTCTTGCAAATCTTGTTTTCAGTGTGTTTGAATAAAAATTTTAGACTGAGATTCATTACCTATACTTTTACAAATGCATGCTATCCATTTAAATACATGTTTGACAGAAGTTTTATTCTGCTCGCAACAGACTGAGAGGATACAAATTAAGTATGTGTGATCTCTAGAAGCAATTGGTATTTTAAAGGTGTGCCTACTCCCCAAAGGGAAGTGGTCTACATTTGGAAATGATGCATTTTGGTTTTCATAGCAGGACAATCATGTTTTAAAGAATACTTTTTTCCTCAAATCTATACAGTTATATTTTAGCATGAACACTTTTTCCTTAGAAGGCGGCTTTGGGGTGAGAAAGGGTTTCTACAGAGAGAGTTTTTGCTCATGTTAGTATTGCTGCATTAGTTATAAGCAGCATGCTAGGATCTAGAAGTAGGATAACTGTCATTCTTTCTGGATGTGTACCTACCCAGGAAACTATGGCGACACTTAAGGTTTAATTCAATTTAACCAGTTTCAGCCTCTTTGCAACTAGCCAGACTTGCACGCACTCTAACCGAATCCAAATCACTCCTGGCACAGTCCTGATGGCTTTGGATTTAGGGCTTTGGCAGGAGCCCCAGACTGATGGAGCAAGGGGCCTCCTTGAGCATCTGTATGGAAGCAGCCCGAGCTTGGCCGTGATTAAGTGCATTCGGGTTACTGCTCTTGCAGGGGTCGGGGTGGGGCCTGGTGGTTTCACCTTTGGTTTAAGTATGAAATATCATATGTCATAGAATTAAGGGATGCAGAGTGATTTATTCTCAGGGTTATTTAAGATGATATAATAGAGGCACATACCCCTAACACATTTTACCTTTCCTCGGCATAGCAATTATTATCCCGGAGCCCAGGGACACTCCCCCCATCTCAGAGGCAGCAGGAACGGCTCCTAAGGGCTGCTGTTCTTCCATTTGTAGCCTCTGTCCTGTCTGCCAGCTCCGGCTCCCCTCTCAGGTTGTGACATTGTGCTAATTGAGCTGAGTTGAGCTCAGAGGAGAGGCAATTTTTCTTTTTTGTTCTTGCCCTGTCACCATCTCTAAGAAAAATTGTTTTTTCTCCTCAAGAGATTGCTCTCCCCGACATTTGCGTTCACACACACCCTGTTCTTGATCATTCCAAAGAAATACCCCTCAGGCTTGTTAAAATATTTTGAAACTTCCATCATTTTTCTTGAGAACTACCAAAGTCATTCATGATTAGCAGTTTTCCTGTACTGCTCGTCCCCTCTGTCTTGCATTTTATTGGGTTTTTGTGTTTTTTAAATAGAGGATATTGCTACTCTTCCTGCATTAAAAC